TTCATAAAAATCCTAGAAGAAACTGTAGGCAACAAAATTTCAGACATCATATGCAACTGAATTTTCACTGATACATCACCTAAGAAAACAGAAACAAAGGAGAAAATGAACACATGGGACTACATGAAACTCAAAAGCTTCTGCATAACAAAAGATACAATCATCAAAATGAAAAGTCAACCTACTATATGGGAGAGCATAATTGCCAATGATATATCAGATAATGAGTTAATTTTCAATATATATACAGTGCTCATACAACTCAACAAAAGGAAGACAAAGAACCCAATTAAAAATGTGCCGAAGACCTAAATAGACACCTCTCCAAACAGGACATACAAATGGTTAAGAGACATATGAAGAAATGCTCAACATCACTAATCATCAGAGAAATGCAAATTAAAACAACAGTGAGGTATCATCTCACACCTGTCAGAATGGTTACCATCAACAAATCATCAAACAACAGGTGTTTGCGATAGTGTGGAGAAAAGGGGACTCCAGTCCACTGCTGGTGGGAATGCAGACTGGTGCAGCCACTATGGTAAACAGTATGGTGTTACCTCAAAAAATTAAAAATTGAACTGCCATTTGACCCAGTGATCCCACTTCTAGGAATATACCCTAAGAAGTCTGAAAGACCAATTCCAAAGAATATATGTACCCCCATGCTCATAGCAGCACTGTTTACAGTAGCTAAGATCTGGAAACAGCCCAAATATCCATCAGTAGATGAATGGATAAAAAAGCTGTGGTACACATACACAATGGTTTACTATGTGGCTGTAGGAAAGAAAGATCTCTTATCCTTTGAGAGGATATGGAGGGACCTGGAAAGTATTATCCTAAGTGAAACAAGCCAAGCAGAAAAAGACAAGTATCATATGATCTCACTTTTTTGTGGAATGTAATGAACATAACAGTTTGAGGAATGGGGTAGTCCCAGAAGTGGGGTACAGACTGACAATCCCCAGAAGAGAGGATGGTGGGGGAGAGATAAAGCATAGAACTTACATGCATGTATGCATGAACAATGGACATGGATAAGAATGCTGGGGACAGGGTAGGGAGGGAAGGGGTGGGGGGAATCAGTGGGGGGGAAAGGAGAAACATCTGTAACAAAAATTAATTAATTAATTAATTACAAAGTCATGTTATCATTTTGTTCTTCAAGTGATGCTTTCCAAGCCAGATTTAATTCATGCTTCCAAGGATAAAAATTTTTGGAAGCCATTTTTGTGTCTTTCAAACACAGTAAATCTGAACTGATGATACTCAACCTAATAAAAGCATGGACCATTATGATCAGCAAATTCAAACATCATTGCTCTTAACTGAGACCTTGTTCTCTCAGATACAACCTCCAAAAAGTCTACGTAGGGCTAGCTAAAGTCAATGAATAACAGTTTATGTTTTAATTATCATTCACTTTTTCAAAATTCATTCATACATAGGTTCTGGTTTGTAAACCTACAAGTCATCAGTGGTTTCCTGATTCTGGGCTGTGATGCCAGTAAGGTGATCTGTCTGACAGAAGTTCTTCCAATTCTGCCTTTCTTCTTTGGAATTGTAATCAGATGCCAGAGCAGAGGGTTGTGGAGAGTGGCATTTTTCCTCTGTTCCACTCTTTACCTCTTATTTTTCTCATTATTTGCAGCAGCTGCAACTAGATACCTTTTGTGACCAAGGCTAACAGAGTGTGCATTTTACTTATGGGAAGGGGAAATTCTCATTGGTGAATGGTACAGTGAGTGAAACAGGAACACAAACCAGCTAGAACACAAATACAAGCCCTTGTAGTAAGAGTGGGCCATTGTGACACAGCCACTCTTTTGTAACTGAATGCTATTGCTACAGCTGTGCTTTTCCCCTTAGTTTCAAGGCCCTCTACCATACTTTTGTGGCTGTACATGTGTGTATATGTGCATGTGTGTGTATGCATGCCTGTGAGTGTGTGCATGTGCATGTGTGTGTGTGGTATGTGGTGGAGGCTAGAGAATCCTGAAGAACAGAGTTCAGGTTTCAGCAATCTTGGAGAGTTGCTGTCAGCCAGCTCTAAGAGGGGTCAATCTGAGAGCACAAAGGGCAGTGTAGCCTGGCCAGCTGAAAACTCTTTGGGATGGGTCAACTCAGAGGTGAAGGTATTGTATTTAAGGGTTTCAATCTTTGATTTTGGCTATAGGTAGATGTAGTCTCTTTCCCAGAAAGCTCTGTGTCTTTCAAAACAGAATATTAGCATTCTCCCTCCTTTCAGGGGCTGGCTGCCCTGTGGTTTTATATTCATTTATTTAAATAGTATTGATTTTATACTCCACCTTTCAGTCTTCACTTATTGTCATAATCTACCAATGCCCCAGAAAACAGGCAGGCTTTTGCAGAAATCCTAAAGACAATTAAAAGAAGCATCCGAGAATGTCAGGAGGGAAAGTTAGTGAAACCCTTTAAGGGACCTCAGTGTATGGTAGGCAACTAAGTGTAGATGTCTTGGTGGCAGCACATGCCATCCATTCACCATACCTATTTGCATAATACATATTAAGGCAGAGTGGTAAATAGAGATATTGAAATAAAGCTCAGGAGACTGAGGTGTTGATTTTCTGTGCTGCTATTAGTTATCTTTGTTATCTGAGGTAAGGTTTTTGACTTGAATGACTGGAAGCATGGAGTAACTTTTAAAAATTGGTGAATATTCACTGTATATGGAGCAGGGGAATTTGAGGTAAAGATTAGAATTTTGATTTTGGATACATTAAAATTAACATCCAAGTATAGATATCAAAGCAGGCAATTGACTATATCAGTCTGGAATTTAGGAAAGAGGCCTGAGCTGAAACTATAAATCTGAGATTTATGGCACAGATATGGTATTTAAAGCTTGAGACTAGAAGAGATGACCAATGGAGTGAGTATAGATAGAGAAGAGGGAAAAGGACTAAGCTGTGGGGCACTCCAATGTTAAAAGATTAGAGAGATGAAAAATAACCAATATATAAGCCAAAAAAATGTCTTCAAGCTAAATTTGATCCTTGGATTAGACCAAAAGTTGGGAAATTTCACAGAAGTTTAGAACTAGGAGGGACCACAAGGAACATCTATTTCAATCAATAATGCTAAAATAAGGAATAGGAGACCTCGGTTCTAGTCCTGCTTTTATGCCTAGGTGAGTGACCTTGAAATATCACTTAACTACTCTAGGTTTCCCTTTTGTACCTAGAAAGAAATATAGCTAGAGCAGATGATCTCTAAAATTTAGACATCTATGATTCTGCATTTTCATTTTTGAAGCCCAGAGAAATAGGAGAAGTGATTTGATCAACATCCTGGCATTAGGCCAGTGTGTCTTCTTCTATGCTGTTGATTTTGAACCCTAAATATATATTAGATGCCCAGGGGAGCTTTTAGTAATATTGATTACTGAGTCTCAAACCTAGAGTGTTTTTGTTTGTTTGTTTGTTTGTTTGTCTGGATTGGGTTTTGCATTGGTATTTTTGGCAATCCTTGGATAATTCTAATGTGCAGCCAGGATTGAAAACCCTCTGCTCTACATTAACAAGGCATGGCAGTGTTTTGTTAGCTGCTACAACTCTCTGCATCTTGACTTGTATTTCAACCACAAAAAATAATTCACTCAATATTAAATCTTATAATTCAGATAAATGTTGTTATAGGAGGATAGCTTTCTAGACCTTGTGAAATCAAAATATCAAGTATCAGCTTCCCTGAAGCTCAGTTAAATGGCATGATCATAGCTTTCTTGAACCCCATCTTAGAAGTGAGATGTTATGAAAACCATGAAGCCATAGCTGGTGTGGGGGAAAAGAGGGAGGGATGGTGCCCACTTTTTTTCTACCTGTATGGAAAAAATATGCAAGATGTGTTACAAAAGTAAACTTACAAGATTAATGAATAGTGCATCATACATAGTACACATATACCATTTCTTTTACCACATTTATAAAGCAGGCAGAGTCATGCTATCCACTGTAGCAGCCTTACTACTTTATAGTGCCTTGTCACCAAAGAGTTTCTACTTTGTACACCAATAAGATAAAGGTTTTTTTGTTTTTGTTTTTTTTTAATTAAAACTACATTCTCCATACACTACAACATTTTGCTTTGTATTTGTGGGTGTGTATTTTACTATGCATGTCTACATGTGTATGTGTGGTAATATGTGTTTAAAACTATTCTAGTGTTCACTTTCTCTGGGGAGCCTGTGTCTAGGAGAATAGCCATTTTGAACTAAAACAAGATAAGACATGGATTGTGGAAACAAATTATTTACAGTCTTACCACACATATCTGCCACTTTAGTAGAGCCAGCAAAATGATTTTTACCATGTATAATAGACCAGTAATTAACCTGGTAAATTTCCTTTGAGTGCCTTTTATCTATTCCATATATGTTTTTTTGAAGTGCCCTTTAATACTTTAAATCACTTTCTTTTTTTTTTTATTTATTTTTTTATCCTCACCCGAGGACATTTTTTCCATTTTTTTGTACAGACAGAGTGGGAGGGAGAGAGAGGAAGAGAGAGAGAGGGAAACATCGATGTGAAAGGGACACATCGAGTGGCTGCCACCCGCACGACCAACCAGGGCCGGGGACAAACTGCAACCAAGGTACATGCCCTTAGCGGGAACTGAACCCGGGTCTCTCTGGACCGCAGGCGGGCGCTCTAACCGCTGAGCCAAACCGGCCAGGGCTAAATCACTTTCTTAAATTAGAGATGTAAAAATATATTCTGTATGACTTGATTTGATCATGAAATTGTCATATTTGGTGTATTCAAAGATGTTAAGGCGTGGGGGAGAAAAACAGAAAAATTCAGGGGAGAAACCAAGCAAGTCCTCAGAAACAATTATTTTTTTCCTCTTGGTCTTCAGAGTTCTCCTCTACTCAGATGTGTAGCCCATTATAATGAACACAGGCTTGGAATATACTCTAAGATTGCTCTAGGGTGACTGGGGCTCAAGATTATTGTAATTTTTAAAAATAGGTTTCACCATTGTTTAGAACCATCCACAATTCAATTTACCTTATTGCATAAGCTATGAATAGTGCTATGAAAGAAAATGGACAGGCTAGTGCTGCCAGCCCACTTGAGCATTCCAGAAACATGCAGTTCTATGGATTCAACCAGTTAATAAAGACAGATTCAAATGGAAATGGAATTTCAGAATATGTAATCTTGGGCATCAGTTGGAAAGAATGGGAACTCCATGGTACTTACACTGTGGACATGGAAACAGAGCTGCTACAATTCAGAGGGACTCCCATTCACTTCCCTCGTGGCAGGCCCCCTCAAGCAGATGCAAAATGCTGGTTTGCAGAAGGGAAGATCTACCAAGGAGGTAAGGAATGAAAAATCACTGGTAGTCAATTTGGTTGAGCTAGGGTTATAAGGGAACCTTTATAGGTGAAGGCATATTTTAATATTAGAACACTCACAGAATCAATCATCTGCATTCAGATGTCATAAATATCTTGGCATGCTGTGTAGTTAATTTAAAATAATAAGAACAGTGACAGGTACTTTGTAGCCTTGAATAATCATCCACAATTTAAAAGCTTCCTCCACTTGTTTTTTTTTTTTTAATTTTATTTTTCAATTACAGATTACATTCAATATTATTTTGTATTAGTCTCAGGTGTAGAGCATAGTGGTTAGACAATGATATACTTTACAAAGTGGTCCCCCTGATATTTTAAATACCCACTTGGTACCATACATAGTTAATACAATATTACTGACTATATTCCCTATGCTGTACTTTACATCCCATGACTATTTTATACCTACCAATTTGTAGTTCTTAACCCCTTTAACTTTTTCACCCAGTCCCCCAGCCCCCAGTTCCCCTCCCATCTGGCAACCATGAGTCTGTTCTCTGTATCCCCTAGTTGTTTTAAAAAGGATTCTACTCCCAGAGGGATTATTCTAATAAGAGGAAGGTATGAGCCTTCTCCTCCATCTTTTATAGGCTGCTCTTTTCCCTCCTGCTAAAAAGATCACTTGTCCTTCCCTTGTTATATCCAAATCCTGTGGATCAGGTTCCACCACAGAAATACCATATCTACATCCTCTCCTTTCTAAACTCCTATTAAACTAAAAGTCTGTACCTCACAGCTTAACACAAAATTGCTTTTCAATTGTTTCTTATATATTGATTGTTTCTCCCCATCACAATTAGACTGCTACTTGAGGATAGGGACCATGGCTAATAATTCTTATGCCCCCTAATTGCCCAACACAGTCAGCATGCAATAAATGTTTGCAGGTCGATTGACTGATGGAACTCTTTTGGCTGTGAAAGAGGGGAAACTCCACCAAATCTCTGAGAGCCAGAAGGAAACTTTGGAAGGATCCATATTATTGCTATGTACACCACAACTTTCTAAAACCAAATCATATATTTGAAACGGACTTTAATTTCTATTTTCCTTTAGTATGACATACAAACTACATCTTTACTCATGTCAGCATATATTTTCCCTCTGAAATGTTAGTAATCCATCTAAATATTTAGATTTTCCAGAGGCCAATTTATATCCTGATGAAAACACTAATTATCAAAACCAGATTCACCCTTGAAGGATGAGTGCTATATTTTTCATCAAAACCCACAAGGCCTATGGACGTGGGTGAATTAAGAAGGTCTTTCATTTTATAAAGGCAACATAATACCCTTCACAGGTGAGATAATACTTATTCTGAAGAACTCTAATGCTATCCAACTTAAAATAAGGTATTAAAGTTTTCCATTTGTGCACTTTTTCCTCCAAAGAAACACCCAGGTCAGCCTTAATCCACGTGATTTGCACTGTCAGAGTGGTTAGTGGTTTTGCTTCAGAACAGTGAAATTGCCTTCTGTGTCCAGAAAGTCAACAAGATAGATTGTTCTATAGAAAAATGGAAATAAGTTAGGTAGGTGTGACTTGATTTTAGAGTCACCAGAAAGCATGAGAATTCACTTTGTGGTGCCTTTTATTTACAGCCTCTCTCTGATAATGCCATTTTTCCTCTTCCTCTTCCTTTCATTCTCTGCAGGCATTGACCCTGCCTTTGCTGTGATGGTCTGCTTTGTTTTGCTTCTAGCTCTGCTATCTATTAATGAATTTGCTTACTTTATAAGGTACATTTTTGTGTGTTTTTTTTGTATATAAAAATATAAGCCTATCATAACCTTGTTAATATTGATTTCTAGTAAGTCATGTTGCAGTACTATTGCCTCATTACATGACCCAGTGATTTTCTTTTTTCCATGGTGATTTACCATTTCTATTGGTCCCATTTAGGGTGAAGTGGTTTCATGGTACCAGGAATCACTTCTTTAGCTGTGTTGTCAGTGTTGTTGCCTGTGAATAGGTCTAGCTCTCAACACTATCGTGAAATAAGAAAACTAGTACTTTAGGGCCTGTTTAATCCTTATTCATCCTCTTTTTTTACACTGAAAGAATCTTCTATAACCATCTTCTTCCCTAAATGGTATGGACTTGTAGGGAATGGAGTTGGGGTATTTTAAAAGTTCCAAAGATGAGGCAGAATTGGTTGGAATCCAAGATGTAATGATTCTAACTCACAGGATTGTAGTGGGGGTTAAATAAACTAGAATAAAGTACCTAGAACAATACCTGGTGCTCATCAAATAGTAGACCTTAATTCATTCCCAGGGACATGAGACTCTCCTGTAGATTATTGGGAGCCCAGAATCCTCACTTTAATACTCATGACTTTTGACCAAGGTATCATATTCCAGATTTTTTCCTTTTAATTAATTTATTTTTGTTACAGATGTTCCTACTTTTTCCCCCATTAACACCCTCCTCCCAATTTCACCCCACCTTGTCCACAGCTTTATTGTCCATGTCCATCAGTTATGCGTACATGCATATAAGTTCTCAGGGTTATCTGTTCTCTTGCCCCCACCACCTTCTCTGAGGGTTGTCAGTCTGTACACTACTTTCATGACTCTGGGTCTAACCTGTTCCTCAGACTGTTATATTCATTATATTCCACAAAAGAGTAAGTTCATGTAACATTTGTCTTTCTCCGCTTGGCTTGCTTCACTTAGCAAAATGCTCTCCAGGTCACTCCATATTGTCTCAAAGGATAAGAGATCTTTCTTTCTTACAGCTGCATAGTAATCCATTGTGTATATGTACCACGGCTTTTTTTATCCATTCATGTACTGATGGACACTTGGGATGTTTCCAGATAGTAGCTATTGTAAATAGTGCTGCTATGAACATGGGAGTACATATATTCTTTCTGATTGGTGTTTCAGGCTTCTAAGGGTATATTCCTAGAAGTGAGATCACTGCGTCAAATGACAATTCAATTTGAAATTTATTGAGGTAACACCATAGTGTTTTCCACAGTGGCTGCACCAGTCTGCATTCCCACCAGCAGTGTACTAGAGTTCCCTTTTCTCCACACCCTCACCAACATTTGTTGTTTGATGATTTGTTGATGGCGGACATTCTGACAGGTGTGAGGTGATACCTCATTGTTTGAATTTGCATCTCTCTGATGATTAGTGATGTTGAACATTTTTTCATAAGTCTCTTGGCCATTTCTATGTCTTCTTGGGAGAGGTGTCTATTTACCTTCTTTGCTCATTTTTTAAATTGGGTTCTTTGTCTTCCTTTTGTTGAGTTGTATGAGCATTCTATATATTTTGAAAATTAACCCCTTATCTGATGTACCAATGGCAGTTATGCTCTCCCATAAAGTGGGTTCCCTTTCCATTTTGATGGTTGTTTCTTTTGCTGTGCAGAAGCTTTTTAGTTTGATGTAGTCCCATGTGTTCATTTTTTTCCTTTGTTTTTGTTGCCTTAGGAGATGTATCAGTGAAAATTCTGCTACGTATGATGTCTAAAATTTTGTTGACTACAATTTCTTCTAGAATTTTTAAGGATTCTCGAGTCCATTTAACTCTTTTATTAATTTTTGAGTTTATTCTTGGGTATGGTGTAAGTTGATGGACTAGTTTCATTTTTTTGCATGTAGCTGTCCAATTTTCCCAACACCATTTATTAAAGAGGCTGTCTTTACTCCATTGTATGCTCTTGCCACCTTTGGTAAATGTTAATTGAGCATAATGTCTTGGGTCCATTTCTGGGTTCTCTGTTCTGTTCCATTGATCAATATGCCTGTTCTTGTGCCAGTACCAGGCTCTGTTAATTATATTAGGTTTGTGGTATAACCTGATATGAGGTTTTGTAATCCCACATACTTTGTCCTTCTTTTTCAAGATTTCTGTGCCTATTCCGGGTCTTTTTTGGTTCCATATGCATTTTGAAGTATTTGTTCTAGTTCTGTGAAATAAGTTGTTGGTATTTTGATGGGGATGGCATTGAATCTATAGATTGCTTTAGGTAATATGGACATTTTAATGATGTTAATTCTTCCAATCCATGAACAAGGTATGTGCTTGCACTTTTTTATACCTTCCTCTAATTCTTTTTTCAATGTCCTGTAGTTTTCTGTAAATAGCTCCTTTACTTTTTTGCTTAGGTTTATTCCTAGGTATCTTAATTTTTTTGCAATGATGGTAAATGGAATTGTTTTAGTTTCTTTTTCTGTGAGTTCCTCATTGGTGTACAAGAATGCTGTCAATTTCTTGACGTTAATATTGTATCCTGCTACTTTGCCAAATTCATTTATTAAGCCTAGTAGATTTTTGATGGGGTCCTGAGGGTTTTCTATGTATAATATCATGTCATCTGTGAATAATGACAGTTTTACTTCCTTCTTTCCAATTTGGATTTCTTTTATTTATTCTTTATGTATGATTGCTGTGGCTAAGACTTCCAGTACTATGTTAAATAAGAGTAGCAAAAGTGGGCGTCCCTGTCTTGTTCTTGTCCTTAAGGGAAAAGCTTTTAGGTTTTGCCCATTGAGTATGATGTTGGCTGTAGGTTTCTCATTTATGGCCTTTATTATGTCAAGATATGATTTCTCTATTCCCACATTGCTGAGCTTTTTTATTAGAAATGGGTGCTGGATTCTATCAAATGATTTTCCAGCATCTATTGATATGATCATGTGTTTTTTTACTTTCATTTTGTTTATATGGTGTATCACATTTATTGATTTACAAATATAGTCCCAGCCTTTTTTCCATGGGATGAATCCTACTTGGTTATTGAGAATAATTTTTTTTGATGTATTGCTGGATCCAATTTGCTAGTATTTTGTTCAGAAATTTGGCATCTATGTTCATGAGGGATATTGGCCTGTATTTTTGGTTCTTTCTTTTTTTTATTAATTAATTTTTGTTACATATGTTTCTCCTTTTCCCCCCACTGATTACCCCCTCCCCCTCCCTACCTGCCCTGTCCCCAGCTTTGTTGTCCATGTCCATTGTACATGCATACATAAATGGAAGATCAGTGGTTTATCTCCCCCCCGCCAACACCTCTTCTGGAGATTGTCACTCTGTATCCCACTTCTACGTCTCTGGATCTACCCCATTCCTCAGACTGTTATGTTCATAACATTCCACAAATAAGTGAGATCATATGATACTTATCTTTCTCTGTTTGGCTTGTTTCACTTAGAAAGATACTTTCCAGGACCCTCCATGTAGTCTCAAGGGATAAGACATCTTTCTTTCTTACAGTTGCATAGTACTCCATTGTGTATATGTACCACAGCTTTTTTATCCATTCGTCTACTGGTGGACACTTGGGCTGTTTCCAGATTGTAACTATTGCAAATAGTGCTGCTACAAACATGTGGGTACATATATTTTTTCTGATTGGTGTTTCAGGCTTCTTAGGGTATATTCCTAGACGTGGGATCACTGGGTCAAATGGAAGTTCAATTTTTAATTTTTTGAGGTAACACTATATTGTTTTCCATAGTGGTTGCACCGGTCTGCATTCCCACCAGCAGTGTACTAGAGTCCCCTTTTCTCCACACCCTCACCAACACTTGTTGTTTGATGATTTGTTGATGGCGGCCATTCTGACAGGTGTGAGGTGATACCTCATTGTTGTTTTGATTTGCATCTCTCTGATGATTAGTGATGATGAGCATTTCTTCATATGTTTCTTAGCCATTTGCATGTCCTGTTTGGAGAGGTGTCTATTTAGTTCCTCTGCTCATTTTTTAATTGGATTCTTTGTCTTCCTTTTGTTGAGTTGTATGAGCATTCTATATATATTGGAATTCACCCCTTATCTGATATATCATTGTCAGTTATGCTCTCCCATACCGTGGGTAGCCTTTCCACTTTGATAATTGTATCTTTCGCTGTGCAGAAGCTTTTGAATTTGATGTAGTCTCATGTGTTCATTTTCTCCTTTGTTTCTATTGCCTTAGGTGATGTATCAGTGAAAATTCTGCTGCATATGATGTCTGAAATTTTGTTGCCTACAGTTTCTTTTACGATTTTTATGGATTCATGAGTCACATTTAAGTCTTTTATCCATTTTGAGTTTATTCTTGTGTAGGGTGTAAGTTGATGGTCTAGTTTAACTTTTCTGCATGTAGCTGACTAATTTTCCCAGCACCGTTTGTTAAAGAGGCTGTCCTTACTCCACTGTATGCTCTTGCCACCTTTGTCAAATATTGAGTATATTGCCTTGGATCTATTTCTGCGTTCTCTGTTCTGTTCCACTGGTCTATATGCCTGTTCTTGTGCCAGTAACAGGTTGTTTTGATTACAGTGGCTTTGTAGTACAACCTGAAATCTGGTATTGTGATTGCTACAACTTTGTTCTTCTTTTTCAAGATTTCTGTGGCTATTTGAGGTCTTTTTTGGTTCCATATGAACTTCTGAAGTACTTGTTCTAATTCTGTGAAGTATGCCGTTGGTAGTTTGATGTGGATTGCATTGAATCTATAGATTGCTTTGGGTAATTTGGACATTTTAATGATGTTCATTCTTCTAATCCATGTGCTTCCACTTTTTTATATCTTCCTCTATTTCTTTTTTCAATTACCTGTAGTTTTCTGCGAATAGGTCCTTTATTTCTTTGGTTAAGTTTATTCCTACATATCTTAATTTTTTTGCCACAATGGTAAATGGGATTGTTTTCTTAGTTTCTCTTTCTCTGAGTTCATCATTGGTGTATAAGAATGCCATCTATTTCTTGACATTAATTTTGTATCCTGCTACTTTTT